GCAAGGATTGCAGAAAATTCCTCTTCTGCTAGTTACTTAGAAGCAAATTAATGGCGCGTTTGGCCCTCCTAGTATATGCTATTACAAATTTACCATCAAAGCGAACGAATGAATCGTAAGGGGGATTAGTGTTGAACTGGCGTAATCAAACCCTCGATTTCTTACGCGACTAGGCAGCTTATGCGAATCAGGTAGTGCTTACCTAACCAAGACGCAATATCGATAATAACCATAGAAATGCACTGACATCGATTGTCTAAAAAAAAACTTGATTTGACTTTTCCATGAATCAAAAAGAACAGTCGAGAAATCTTGGGTTTCCTGGAGGAATTGTTTAGCCATTTCAACGATCAAATTTCAGACCTAATAATTGGCCTTTTTTTAAACTTGTTTAATATTAATCAATATTTAACTATTTTAGTGAATTAATGCGGAATTATAATTGTTATTTAAGGAACTGTTCTCGTCAGGCGGTTGTAAATTTCGTTTAGAAATATTAGAAATTGAAATTTAGTCATATAAAAAGAGTCAGTGGTTCTGACTAAGAGAAAGATGCTTCGAATGACTGGATTGCACATGTTTTAACTTTGCATCACATTTAATTAGGCATAAATTATTACTTAATAAGTACTGGTAAGATAGATACTATGCAAAATGAGAGACCGCTACTAAAATTATAAGTTGCTGGTGGCGAGGCAGCGAGCCTAATAATTTTTTTGAAATATTTTTCAGGCATTTTGCTGTTTCACTTCATACTCTGCTCTCTTTTAACATGCTTTTGCGGCTGTTTTGCTGATTTATCTTTTTTTTTTTGCTTCATTTAATTTAATTTCGCTGTATTTAAATAGGTTTAGCACGCATTGTGTCTTAATGAGACGAGCAGGTACCTTTTCTTGGAGACAATATTTAAGCAACATCAAGACTAAAACCCACTCAACAGGGCTTTGGGACTAATTTAAGAAGATGAGAAAGTAGAACCTCCTCCTCCCTTGATCCAAAGTGCCAAAGCATCCTGACTCATTTGGGGGCTTTTCGAATTGATATCCGCTTGTGTTCGGGAAAAAACTGGCACAGCGGCAAAAACTTACTGGCAATATATAATGTGAAAAAGGGTAGCCAACAGAACAGAAATGAGCATGATACAACACCAAGCGTTTTGGCGACACGTTCATGCGTGCGAAGCACCCGACGCTGATGCTCTACCATTCCGGTCCTCCTGCCATAATGCACTCGCAAATGTGCCTGGAAAGACAAAACACAGTTTTCTTGGATGTTAGGGCAAAACACAAACACATCCCAGACAATAATAAAAAAAAGTATGCGAAACTGCCAAAAATAACACTATTCAGAGCACCGGCATACGGAGGCGAAATGTGATCACTAAGGAAAGTTGAAGAATGAGCACTGGCTGTGGCGGAGAGAGCGATGGAGCGAAAGATGCTTAACGTGTTGTACCGTGTACAGGCAAACGGTCATACTTTCTGTATGCTGCAACCACACGAAAGAATAAAGTACGATCGCCAAGGCATACTGTGAATGTCGCAAATTCGTGATTGATATCCGAGAGAAAATAAAAGACCATTCGAGCGAGTTCCATGAAGGCAATGTGTATAAATGGAGCAGCTAATATCTTTTAATACAGAATGTTTCTAACGTATAACTTACGTGCTCACTGAGCGTATTTGTGAGAAAGTTCATATTTTGTCCTAAAATCATTAAAAATCCGCTATCCAGGGCTTTTTGTCGATTACGCGCTAATCGATAGATCCTCCAGTACAGTGTCAACGTTACTGAAGCTGGGATGAAAAATGCAAATATAACACTGTGCGCCAAATAACGAATTTCATTACCCGCAAAGCATACGTTCTGCAATAAAAACACTGTAAATTGCAAATGCAATATTTCTATTTTTCTGTTCACGGGATAAAAATTCCAAATTAGGGTCTTCAAATTTGCTGCTGGAGATTATCCATTATCAGTTCTGGAATTTTCGCCAGCCAAATGAGTATAATTATTATGAATATGCAAAAACTCACTGAATTCAAACAAGTTGGTGGTTGATCCCACTTGACGGTTGCCAACAGCACGGAAAGTGAAAAGCACCAGATTGAAACAATTGTAATAATCACCTTCGTTTTCGTAACTACCGTTTTATATTGTAGTGGACGAGTT